AGTATTTGTTGTTAAAGTTTATTGTGTATTTGTTTCAGTTGAAACAAAGTCTTAAAAAGTCTCACAACAAAGTGTTTTGAAAATCTTGATGTGTAGAGAGGGGACCTGTTTGTGATATGCTTGTGATGGCTAACCTAGTACTTCGTGTATATGCATAAAATTCAGCCATAATCCATGACATGCAGCATACATACCTTCAAATCATCAATCTGCTTCTGTATTGATGCAGGGTCTCCCCCTATTGGCTCGGATGCCTTCTGATCAGCTGTCTCCTTGGCACTCTGTAACCATGGTAACAGGCTGTCCACAGCCTCTTTGTATTGCCTAGCAACAAAGGTTGGTAGATGTAATGAGTAAAAATCAGTCCAAACAATGTTGTCTTTTCTTAGAATGAAACAGAGTTTCTGTGGTAAAAGTTGTGTGTAAAAATAAAAGTTGTTTAGCCCCTTTGGACAGAAAACCAGTTTAGAGGCTGGCCATTGCAGGCTGAAATCAGCATTTTGAAGTTTCTCATCCTTTAGGGGGAAATGATAGTATTCAAGGTTACACTGGACAACCTACAGTCTGCAGTACAACTACAGCTACAGAATGGATTTGTACTGAGTTTCAGACTTACTTGTGTTTGTGCACAGCGTCCCCGAGCTGCTTGCCTTCCCGCCCACACTGTGTGTGGAGGTTCTGGTAGCGCTGGGCCAGGTTGTCCAGTTTGTCCTGCACTGTGGGGCTCACCTCCTCAGGACTGAAGGGTTCCTCTGGTTTCACCTTGGCATGGAACTTGCCCAAGTTCTCTTCATGTGCCTGTTGGGAAGGAAGCACTGAAGTTATCACTTCTTCATTTTCCCAAGAAACAATACATTTAGATAATTAAGTTGAATCAGAGAGGATAGTGCATTCTCCTGGAAAAATTATGTCCCCAATACATGTTTATCAAGGCAACAAATCCACAGTTAAGCAGACATACATGTATTCAAATGAGTTCTAATTGCGTTTCTCACAGCATACAAGTTCACAACACTATGTGCTCATGTTGTAAGCAATAAAAAGGGATGATCACATTTCCTTTAAATCTAAGTCTTCTTTAGTTCTGCTATGCTGAATTAGTTGGCTTATACATGTAATGTTACATGTCATGTACATGTACCTTAGCTCGGTCCAGGAACCTCTGTCCAGCCATTGTCATACACATCCAACACCCCAAAGCTACCAAGGGGCCTTCCAAGCCAATCTACCTCCAAGCAATGCAAACAGCAAGGAAACACCATTACAAGGAGATCACCTTTAGTATGCACCAGGCAAAGAGTCAGCTCCAAAGCACATTGCCCCCACCGGTGTTCTCCCAATGGGGTATGGACTGCCTACCCCACCTCCACCTCCACCCTACCCACATGGAGACAAAACCAACCAGATTCGTCAGACCAACCCTCCCCCTCCTCCTTCTATGAATGGCCAGGTACACAGTCCCTTCAATCCCCACATTGGCAGTGAGAAGCACGTTCCTAGTGTTCAGTTGCCTCGGGTCAACTCACAGGACGTCCAAGCTCAAAGCAGACCCCAAAGTACGAAACCTCTCAACGGTCCCCAGAGTCCACAAGTTCACCAGCAGTCACATTACCAACTTCCAAGCATTCAGTCCATTTTCCGAGACTCTGGTTTAACTCTGTCCAAAGAGGTAAGGGACCAGAACATGTTCCAAGAAGGTCTAGCTGGTCGTCGCTTCACAGATATTGCCAAGAACACCTATAGACCCCAGACCCCCACAGAACAAAGACCACCCTCCAGAAAATCTCATGTCCCTGTACAGCAACCTCTTGCCCCCAATGTTGCTGCCAACCTCCCCATGCCGCTACAGTTCCCGGCCAAGCAGCCACCCCCAGCAGTTGATGACCCATATGCGTTTGAACCCCAACAGCCAAATTCTAACCAACCAGATAGAAACCCAACGCCACTCAATCTGTCTCGACCCAACCCAGTCCAGGTTCAGCCGCCTCGAATTGAAGAGGATGACATCCTTGGCAATGCTGTTTATCCCCCGGCCTTGAATGGTCTGAGATCCCAGCTTCTCCAGAAGCTGAATGCAGCCATGAAGCCTGACAAAGATGGGGTGGTTCGAATCAAACAGGAACCTATGGTGTGTGACCCAGATCTCACAGATCACTTACCTCCCCCATATGCCTTACATAGGAAGGAGGATGACGAGGTTTGGTCAGACAGTGAGGTTTGTTTCCAGGACGAGGACATCGGTGGGGTGGCAATTGCTCTGTCCCATGGCTCTGTGCTTATTGAATGTGCGAAGCGTGAGCTCCATGCAACTACAGCGATAAAAAAGCCGAACCGTGCCTGCCCGACAAGAATCAGCCTCGTGTTTTATCAGCACAAGAACATGAACTACTCCAGGCACGGCTTTGCAGAGTACGAGCAGAAGATGGCGGCCAAGGCAGCAGAGCAGGAGGAGGCACGGAAACTCGCCGAAGGAGGGCGCAAGGTGGAAAGTAGTGTTGTCAAGGAAACAGTTGCTGAAGAATCCACGAAGAAGGTTGCCGAGAAGACCGGCCCTACCAAACCAGCAATCAACAATGCTCTGACAATGACTACAGACACTGTGGTTACACTCTGGTCAGTAGCGGTTCCTCAAGTGACAGGGCCCTACCAGAAGTGGGTGTGAAAGGTGGCTCCTCTTTCTCTTGCTTAGCTGTACGACGAGTCACAGTGCTGCTACTGCCTGTTTCCCACAAAGTGCATGCCTCCCACCTTGACAAGGTAAGGAAGTGGTGCTATGAAGAACTAGATACAATCAGCTGCTACACTCAACATTTTGTGGGAAACTCTCTAGTAGCAAAAGAGGGACAACTGAAAATCAAATCAGTCCTTTGTGTGTTATGAAAATGGCCAGTTTGTTACCTTGCAAAAAGGTATGAAGCAAAAGATCTATTTTATCATGATGCTATATCTGGCTTGAAACATGCGACACATTGTCCTCTTCGGCACTGCAGATGACTCTTTACCAGATTGCCAATGGCCTTCAAATCCACCACCTACCTCAGAGTGAGTATAGATCACGCTATGAAAGGGATACAAGGAGGTTCCTATCCCACCTACCCAGTTGGGTAAGCAAAGACATTACATAGGGTACCTGCTGGTGCATCACATGTGCATTGCTTAACAGACAGTTGAAAGAGGGTGC